TGACCGTGCAAGCCCAACAGAGCCAATGTTAAACCAGAGAATACCAGAGAATCCTGGCCAGCTCCTTCTAATATGTGATCCTATTTGTCTGTAAGAGCTGCTTCCCTCCATCTTCTCTCCTGTTGCCTGGAAAAACTGCAAAAATCAAAAAAGAAAACAGCAAAAGTTTGGCACTTTAAAATGCTATCTTTGTTTCCCCCCAAATATTTACAGGAATAGTCATGATCTGGATATTAGTTTTAACAAAATCCCCAAATATTGATCCAGATCACAAAGATATCTGAAAAAATACCAATAAGGCATGTATTTGGACTGGATATATATACTGGACAAAATAACTGTAATTCAGATAGGCAACTAGATAACTATCCAGGTGTTCACAAATGGCATCACAGACAGTGTTGAAATGTGACAGGGGCATTAGGATGAGGGTCATGATTATATATTTAGGGTATTTATATACCCTGAGTTTCTTCTGAGATATTCAGGACTCAAGGAAGGTAACAACAATAAATATAATAAAAAATTAGAAACAACACAGGGGCTCCTGATGATGAAGCTAACTGCTTGAAAAAAATTCCTCCTAGATTTTCCTCAATGTCATCCATTTAAAATTTTTAAAAACAACTGGTGAGTATCACCTTTGAATGCTGAAAGTTCCATTTCATCCACATCAACCACCCTGCATATTGAGCAAAGAAAGGCCTGATTTTGACACTGTATGCTATTTTGATGATAGCGATATTCAGCATTGCAAGGGTTTGAATGAAAGGGAAAAAAAGAGCTTCAATAGTTTCACAAGCTTGTCCTTGTGAAAGATTTTTAATGTAGCACAATGAGGCAGCCAGACAAGGCGAAGGGGGGCAGATTAATAAAACCCAAAAGGACTTTTATAAACTCAGCTAGATCTACCAAAAACACTTTGCTCTCAGTGTTAAACTAGCGAAAACCTCTGAGATTTTCTTTAGTGCCTCGTTTCTTTTATGAAACTCTTGTAAGAAGTCAGTTATGGCCCCATTCACACAGAGGATTTGCCATGCTAAAGGCACGAATGGTAGGTGGATTTTCAGTGCACGATCACACCGCAACATCTGGGAAGTGTAGTGCACCCGTAGCCAACCCGTGGCATCCCACCGAAGATGTGCAGTAAAAAAAAAATACCTCAGAAAGTGCATTAGTATCCGGAAAATGCGCGGCAGGGGCGGGCATCTTATTGCAGGAGCGCTAGTATCCCGTGGCTTCCGGCGCCCGTCCGAGTCCCATCGCAAACCAGATGGTTTCCCTAAGTGCATGCACACGAACACTGAGCTGGAAGAATGCTGCTCCGCAGAACTGCAAATGCACACAAACACAGAATGCTTGCTGCGCGGCTTCTTTGCCAGCTCCAGCATCGCCATGTGACCGCGAGCTTCCTGCCACAGCGCAAAGACTCAGGAGACTGTGTGATCGAGCTAACACACTTTATTTTGCCCTGGGGCAAACAGCCATGCCTCACCCCCATGTTATCTGCCCCGGGGCAAACAGCCATGCCTCACCCCCACGTTATCTGGCCCGTGTGACCAGGGCCTATGTGTGTGTTGATCTCCAAAACATATATTTACCCAAGCAATTTTCAGCAGTTATTCATTGGGAGAATGAATATGTACTGGTGTGTGTGGTGTTTTTTTAATAACAAAAATGTTTCATTAAATACAGAGATTATGCTATTCTCTCTTCATCACTCTCTTTCCGTCTTTCTTCAATGGGCTTTTCCCACATAGCCTCTTCTGCCATCTGCTTGCTGATTAGAGAAGGGGTGGAGAGGAAAGCATGTTTCATCACTCTCTATCAGCCGCTGCTCAGTGGTGGTGAGGAAAAGTGGCAAGCAGGAAGCATGGAGAGGTCTCTTTCTGCTTCCAGCTTTCCTCCCCTCCCCTTTGTCACCCATCAGCTGAGTATTCAGGCAGTCAGGCTACTTCCTCTTGAAAGTGCCCAGAGAAATATATCCCTTAATTGAGAGATCCTGCCTTGATATCAACATTGATGGAGTTAATGGATGGATTTAATCTTCTGACCTCTGAAGGCTACAGGAACTCAGGAAGCAAAAATGCATGAGTCAGGGAGGGTGGCTAGGGAACAAACCCGAGTACAATCTAGAGGTACCTTATTGTGCTGTAATACACCTACTAACATCTATGGAGTGAGGTTTTCATGGGGAAACAATATGTGGTTGGAAAAAGGTTAACTCCATTGTAGTTCCACAAACCCATCTGAACTGCTTTATCACTGCTTTTTAATATTAAACAAAGGCTTAGGTGATCTGATCATGGATCATTTACACAATATGTTGTTTGTGTTGGCACAGTAATTAACACAGCATTGGTGCACAACCTGATCAAATAGTAGATAATGGTTTATTTAGGAATTAATATACTTGATAGAAAAGAGGAGAGAGAGAGAGATGGGTTCCTAGCTACATCTCCAGCTGAGAGAGAGGGTAAGACTGAGGTGTGAACTTCTGAGAAGAAGAGGGAAATTGCCCTAAGAGTAGCACTTTGGAGATACAAAATTGCCCTAAGAGTAGCACTTTGGAGACACACAAGGAATAATACTTAACAGGAGAGAAGGTGCTGCCCTCACTATCCTATCTAATCATTTTCTGGCTGCTCCCTGCAGGGTCTTCTCTTCTTCTTTGTACACCACACATTGCCTTTTCCAGCAGTTTGGCCCTTATTCATAATTTCTTTAGCACATACTGATTAGCAAATTAAAATATTCCCTTTGAGATCTCTGCCTACGTAACTCATAATGACTGGGGAGAAAGTCTGTGTTCTTCCATGATGTCTTGGTTCTGATTATTGAACAACTGAGCATATGGGAATAAGATAGAATATATACTAGAAGTTGAGTGCATTTTCATTGCTCACCTTTAGGTGAAGGCTGGAGGAATCTTTATCACTCTGGATTCTGCTCTGTAATCATACATAATTTATTACCTTAAGTATCAAGAAAACCAAAACAGATTACATCAGGAATTGATTAAGCATACAAACTGAAGAAACCAGCTTTGTTTTAGAAGAAAAGAGACTGAAGATGACCCTGTATGTCTGATTACAATAACGAGACTATGTTGCAGAGAAAGACCATAAGCCAGAGAGCAGTTTTTAAAGGTAAAGAACTTAGTTACACAACATGTATGTTAAGGCTGGGATACATGATCTAGTGGTTGCCTGAAGGATCAGTATTATTTTCAAAATTAATACTGAGTAGCCACAGCATCCAAGTGGGAACGTATGAACCCCTACATGAGGTTTGTGATCCAACTGAGTTGCAAAGAAGGGGAAAACAAGGTAGCAGGGGTCTAGAATTAATCACATATGTGTTGAATTGGAAGATACTAAAGTGTCTTAAGGGCTGATGCCTGTGACTCTCTTCTTAATGAAGAGTCTCCCTCCAAGGAAGAGGCCGCCTCCTTCCTCTGGAGGAAGACTCTTCCCTTGAAAGAGAATTACAGGATCAAACCAAAATGTTAATTTCTATTGATTTCATCAGGATGCCATGAATTTTGCATCAGACATGTTCAACTATCACACTTATTGTGTTCGATGGTGATGAACGAATGTAAGTCAGTCATGAGGTCTGTTCAGTTCAGCACGTACAAAAGAGGTTTGCACCGAATTTTGTCCAAAACTGTGCATAGACCAAAAAACAGCAACAAAAACCTGCCAATACAAAGAGATCAGCAGGTACCAGAAGAGCATTTATGATTCATGATTGATTTAACTGTCTATTTAAACAAGTGCCTGCCATGTGGAGCAGTAGCACAGCAGGGATGGGTGTGTGTGAGAAGGCACACACACAAAAAAACAATTTCATTGCATTGCACTGTAAGAAAGGAATATAGTGAAGCAACTTGCTGAACAGTCACAAAGAGGCCAATACAGAGACAAACAATTAAAAAAATATGTTCTCTGACTGTCAAACAGGATGTGATCTGAACTGGCAAGTGCTTGAGCATCCCTACTAGAATAACTAAGCATGACAAGATTAATGTGTATTGAGTCCTATCATCCCATTCTGAGCAGAGCTGTCAAAATGGAATGGTGCTTCGAATAAGCGCTTTTGCACATGCCCAGATAACACTTTTTTTAAAAAAAGTATCCTGCTCAAGTGGCCACTCCGTGGTTACCAAGCAGCAGTAATCTGAACAGTCAACCACGAGGTGAACATGTGAGGAAGGACAAGGCTGGTGTGTTTGGACAAAACTCTTTGGAACACTGGATAAATTAGAGGTGCAGCAGGACCATGCTAAACCTGATGTCTGACCACAGCCATTGACTGCATGAATGACAATAACACAGCACTGTTTGTGTAAAGGTAGATAGGAACTGAGGAGCATGCCAGCTTTGGGCATGAAGAATTTTGCCCAATATTTATCAGCTGTTTAGCACAGAGTCATAATAATTGATAGACCAGGGGTGAGGACTAAGCAACGGGTGTACCACAGCTAGAGCTACACATCCAGGGCTCTTTTTGTAGCAGGAACTCCTTTGCATATTAGACCACACACCCCTAATGTAGCCAATCCTCCAAGAGCTTACAGAGCTCTTCTTACAGGAGCTACTGTAAGCTCTTGGATGATTGGCTACATTAGGGTTGTGTCGCTTAATATGCAAATGAGTACCTGCTACAATCACTCTAGATGGCTCTTTAATGGGAAGGAAGAAATTGGGGAGGTGGAGAGTCTGAACTCACCCACCAGCTTCCCTGATCTACTAACTGGCCTGACTCAAGTTTCTCTTCGTGGACCACTGGATGCCTTAAGAGGCTGCAGAATGGCAATACTTGCATGCATTCAGCTGTTAAGAAATCCACTAAAATGTATTTATTTCAATGGAAGCAAGTGGCATGTAACATGATGCAAATGATGTCCCTTCCCCATGTGTGGGAAAGGGACAATTATCATAATAGAACAACAATCTTTGATTTCTTCATTATACAGGAAAGCCATCACTGCAGACATGGACAATGAAACCACGGTGACTGAGTTTATCTTCTCAGGACTCTCCAGTAATCCACAGATCCAGATTTTACTCTTTGCAGTGTTTCTCTTAATTTATCTGATAACTTTGTTTGGGAACGTGACCATCATTATGACCATCAGAATGAACCCTCATCTTCACACTCCCATGTACATTTTCCTTTCATATCTAGCCTGTCTAGATCTTGCTTTTTCATCTGTGACGGTTCCAAAGATGCTACAGAACCTTCTAGAAGAGAGAAAGGCCATCTCAGTGAAAAGCTGTATTACCCAAGTCTTCTTTGGCTTGGGTCTCATTATGGGAGAGGGCCTCCTCCTTTCAGTGATGGCCTATGATCGGTTTATAGCCATCAGCCATCCTCTACATTATACAGTGATGATGAGTAAGCGGGTTATTGCTCAGCTGCTGTGTTCAGCATTGACCACCGGCTTTCTGTACTCACTGCTCAATACCCTTCTGCTGTTGAGGTTGCACTTCTGCGGGCCCAATGTAATTCATCATTTTTGCTGTGAGCCTCCACAACTGTTCAAGCTGTCTTGCATTAACCCCTTTGCAAATCATATGGTGATTTTCATCCTTGGCTCACTGTTGGGAGCAATCGCTCTCCTCATAACATTTGGCTCCTATGTTCGCATCATCTCTGCTGTCTTAAGAATCAGCAGTGCGGAAGGGAAGCGCAAGGCCTTCTCCACATGCTCGTCTCACTTGACTGTTGTCGTTCTGTATTACGGAACTCTTTTTTTTAGATACCTGAAACCCACTTCTCAGGACTTTCAGGAGCAGGAGATGGCACCCTCTGTGATTTACTTTATTTTGACTCCCATGTTAAATCCCATCATCTACAGCCTTCGCAACCAAGAAGTGAAAAAAGGTTTGCATAATATAATGGTCCGAAAATGAGAATGTAAAAATATATGAAGATGGTTGTGCAACACTTAATTTTGTAATTTCAAATAATGACGCTCTCTGGTGAGCTTATATATTTAACTAATATATTACTTGTGACATGGAGCCCAAATATATGCATTTTCCATATGCACATTTTATTGTTTGCTTCCATTCACCATTAATGAATTAGTGTAGTTTTATGGCTAAGAGTATAAGATGGAAAGTTCACAGTTTAAATCTCATTTTAGCTAAGACCTGCCTATATTGTTTCAGTAACATATTGTCCAATGTTGCAGGAGAGTTGTAACGATACTCAAACTAATGTATGTGTCGCATTCAAAGTACATACTGCAATAATATTATTATGTGGATTAACTGCTATCAATGGGAAGGTGAAAGTGGCATTGCCTTTGTTATTTTTCAAAAAGGCACTGTTATTGAAGGATATGGACATGCAGAATCAAGCCCTTGGGTAGTAATGCTAGTTTCAAATGAGCATCTGTTCATGTTTCAGAACCTTGAAATACGGATCCAGTTCTGTGAATCCAGAATCCCCTGCCCCCTCAAACAAGTCCTGCTGCATTCTGACCTGCAGTGTATCCGAGTCCAAGTCCTTGTTTTACTTAGCCCTGCTTGCACAACAGACTCCAGGTGTATTCTTACTTGCCTTCCTCTTTGGATTACTACCTGGATATTTACTTGGGTCTCGGGCATCACTTTAATGAGCTCCAAACTCTACTAGGTCATTGTCAGACCCACAGCAAACAATGAAATACACTATTGCAGGAAGGTTTTATTTTATTGAAGCCATGAAGTACTTAGAACAGATTCTCTGTTCAGAATACCACAAGGTGCTTGAGACAGGTATAATAAAGCAAGTTCAAAATAACATGGGTCAATAGATATGGTTCCCGCGCCCACCCTGAGGACTCATCGCGCACCCAAACCCTGAGAAAGCAACGGTTGTAGCTGATTAAACAATTATTCTATTCTCACACTACTGTTCATTATAGACTAAGCAAAAGCCTCCAAATGCGAACCACCTGTAGCCTTGGCTGATAAGGTTTCTTCAAAGCATTGCTAGCGTACATGGAAAGGAATGCAGTGGAAGATGAGCGCATGAGGGTGAGGGGGGGACATGCGCACAAGAGTCTAAGCCAGTCCAGGGAAGGAGAGGGGGGGGGAGACACATCTCATATGCATGGAAAAGACATATTGGCAGCTTGCTGACAGTCATGTAGTCAGTTTCCCTTAAAAAAATGTTTTTCAAGATGCTTGGGAATATCACCTGAGCTCAAGACATGTACTGACAAGTGGTTGTAAGCCTGTTGTCTCCCTCTCTAGCTCCTTGACTCCTATTTTTTTACTGAAACCTGTTTGAGAGAGCTTTTAAGATAGTAGCATTTTATTGTGGGCACTTGATGCTATTTGTGATCGCTTGACATTATTGCGGCTGCTTGAATGTACTCGATTCACCTCACTTAAAAATGGTTTTCATGTCCAGGTCTTTTCAGACTTGCTTAGGATCATCATTATTTTTCTGAAAGGGATCCTGTGATCACTTGAGTGTGTCATGCCCATAAATCACATCTAAAATCCTAATCTAGCAGTTCATAGGAATGTCCATAGGAGTGAGAGATAGTAGATCTTCCTTATAATTTGGCTTCTCTAGAGTGGACGTGGACCAGATTGGAACTACCTATAGTAACACCTTTTGTTACCATCCATGGGGTTTTCTTGGCAAAGATACTGGAGTGGGTTGCCATTTCCTTCTCCAGGGGATCACGTTTTGTCTGGGGAGGGGAATGAAGGTAAAAGAAGAAGGGGACGGCAAAGGATGAGATGGTTAAACAGTGTTATAGACACAACAAATATGAAATTAAGCAAACTCCGGAGCATGACGGAAGACAGGAGGGCCTGGCATGATCTGGCCCATGGGGTTGCAAAGAGTTGGACTCAACTGTGCATCTAAACAACAACAAATAGTAACACCTAGAGATCAACCCCCCCTTCATACACTTTCAGGGTGTTGGGTAAATTCAAGGAATGGTCACTTGAATTTCCCATGTCAATCCTAAAAGGACCCTTTGTTCCTGCGATACATCTGGAATCACTTCCTAGGCTTTCAGGGTAGGGGGAAATTACTATAGATGTCACATAATCTCTTAATCTCCTATTGGAATAATTTATCAACATTTTGGTTTTTGTTCTGACTGTGAAGAGGAGGTTTTGATGTAGGTTTGTTCTTCTGTGAATAATGGAAATGCCCAGCCTCTAGGAGGACACCTATCACTTTACTTACTTACAACTGTGATGGGAGGCATTAGTAAATATGTGTTAGAAAGGAACAGTAAAGTGGAGTATTCAGGGTCCCTCAACAAGTTTAATAGTACAGTGCGCATTTAACGCCAGGTGTTTTAAATCTGAGTCTGACACTCTAACCAAATCTATAGTAAAAGAAGCCATCAGTTCATACATCTATCTAGCTATCTGTCTGCCTATCTGTGGCACACATATTTCATCAGAAAATAAAGCTATGAGTCTCAACATTGGCAACCAGCTTCAGGATGATCATAGGAGTTTCTAACACAAACGATATGAGAACATCTTGGCCCATGGAATTCCAAAATCTTTTTTTTTCTCATTTGGAAGCCATGGTTCACTCTGACAGGCATAGTTCTCCAAAAATAAAGCTAGGAGCCTCGATATGGGCCACTAGCTTTACGATAGGAGCTGCAGTACCCCAAACAAAGGGAATCAAAACATTGAGCTCCATGTTATCACCACAGTCTTCCTTCCAAATGGGAATGGAAGCAAAAGATGACTGTGCCAGGCATAATTAATTGAAAATGAAGATAGGCATTTGAAAGTGGGCTAACAAACTCTAACTCAGGGTGCTAATGGGAGTTGCAGCACCCAAAACAAAGGAAATCAGAGTATCTTGATGATCCAGTTTATATCCAGTAGTTCCCGATGCTTGTTGCAGGCAAAATCCTCAAAAAATAAAACTAGTGGTTTCAAAATTGGTGATCTGCTTCAGAATGGCTGTGGGAGTTGCAGTGCCAAAAAAGAAAAGATCAGACCAGGGGTCTTTTTGTAGAAAAAGAGCTGCCGGAGCTCATTAGCATAACTCATTAGCATATGCCACACCCCCTGACATCACAGGAAGTGTGTCATAAGGCCACTCCCCCTGACATCACCGGAAGTTTCCTCCCTTTAGACTCAGAAACCATAATAGATGAACAGAGAAAGGGATGGAGAAACTATCCATTGCCTCATTTGGCTCCCAGATGGGATCTGGGAGCCAGAAAAGCCTGAGGGGTCCTCTGAGAGGGTGATCACTCTGTACAGATTATTATCATGCACAACAATGCAGGTGATCAGAAAGAACCAGAAAGATATAAGCCTAGCTGAGAACCAGACACCAGGAAGTGGTAGTGCCTGATGGCTGGCGAGAAAATCAACCTGCCTGGGAGGTGAAAAACAAGGTGGCCTGAACTGAGAAATGTACTCTTGATTTTGAGAGCCTACTTTAGAATCAGTAATGCACCTCCCACTTCATCTCTCGCTGATTTTCACCTCAGGAGAAGAGTGTTGTATACTGTTTCTGAACTTTTGCTTCCAAGGAGATCAGGCGTGACTTCAAATGACTAGAAGTTCCATGAGAGCTACTGAATAACTTATCCCATGGGGCTTATAAGCCACCTGAGTAAGTGCTTATTTGTAGCTTCCAGCCACCTGGTTAGACCTAGGATTTCTACCTTTCTGCCTTCCCAGATCTTTGAGAAGTGCTACACAACTGCCTCTCCATGGGACTATGACCTGGGATTTCACACATTTTAATGGCCAATAGAAAATCAGCTGGAATTGCCTTGTTTGATTTCACCAGCCTTGAGCATATAGCTCATGACACGTTTTGCAGCAATGCATTTAGACAAGGGTGAAAGCCTCATATGAATACCTTTCTAGAGATTTCAAAGCTATTACAGTTTTAGGATTCTGGTTTGCTTCCACTTTTACTGCCTGCAGCCCTTTCTGTATATTTTCATATTGATGGGGGGTGGGGGGTGGAACCAGAGCAACAACCCAAATGCAAATCAATTTCGGGGTGCCTATGATCCACCCTTCTAAATTCATTTTCATTGCATACAAATGAGTCAAATTCAACTGAGTGGCTTGTCCTTTTAGCGACATCCACTTTTCTTTCCCCCCCAGTCAATTATTTCCCTTGAATAATAAATATGAGCTAGGGGGGTTAATAGTTGTATGGGAACAGAGCACCTGAGACAATTGGTTTCCATGACAACCAAATTCACTTATCAATATTTTTAACTTATTCTCCTCCTCCATTTTCTGTGTCTTTGGAAGAAAACTGCTGCGGGAGGAGGTGGCTGGCTTTGCTCGAGCACTGTGTAATTCGAGCCTTATTTCCTCCCAAATGGCTGGGCCTCTGTAGGAAGCGGCGTGCCGCATGCTCGGTGCCTCTTTCATGCCACCAACCTCCCCCCCTCCCTGAAGAGCCCGGTGAGAGACCCTCCCCAGTTGCGTGCGGGGCAGCCCTCGGGAGGGAGTGGGGCAGCCAGGCGCGCAAGCAGGTGGAGCCTCGGCATGGTGAAGGCTGCCGCCCGTGGCAGGGAAGGAGGGAGGAAGCAGCCAGGCAGGAAATCCATGGCATGGCCTGGAGAGGGGAGGGGGCGGGGAGGAGAGGAGAGTGCTTGCGTAGGGCTGAGCGCGGCAGGTTGGTTTTACCGACGCTCTCCCCACCCACACCTCCACATGAGGAGAAGAACAGTCTGCATTCCCACGACCACCAAAGAGAGCCCCCTCGCGCGTCGTCTCCTTCTGGACGCTTTTGCTGCACTTCTGTTCTGCAAACCAGGCAGAGGCGTGGGTTTGGACTTTCCCGCGGAAAGCAGCATGGAGAAATTTTTGACTGCAAAACATGGAAGCCTCAGGCTCATTAGAGTGCCAAGAATAGACAGGAGGCTGATTACGTGATGCACGCACCCAAGCGGAAAGGAAATCCAGACACAAAACCGTCTCCTGTAACTGAAAAGCGGCACCAACCTGTAGCTCCGCCGTGAGCCGAGAGATAAATCACAACTCCAGCCGCTTCCCTTCGCTGTCAACCAGCCAATTCCAGTCATCGCCCC